AAAGATGAAAACTGAGAATTAACCATTAAATTTAGTATCGTGGAGATCTTACTCAACATGACAAGAGCTGGCCCCTTCCTATCACCAAGGCACTGTAGTCTGCATAGATAGAGGCAGATATTTATATGTAGTGTGATATAAACTACCTACTTTTTAAGAAGCTTCGGTAGAGCTTGCCTTGTGTTAGACACATGAGAGCACTCATTGAATGTTTATTTTTTTGTGTAAACAGAATAAAAGTGTATTTATACAAATTAACTTAGCAATTGTTTTGTACTCGGGTATGTTGTCCAGCCTCTGAAATGTTTATATGTAGTGTTATTACTCTAAGTAGGTAGAGCTTACTGAAGATAGGCAAGCTTAAATAATATTTGACATATCAGTAGATAAGGGGACATTTACAGAGATGATTCATAAATTTCAGCTTGTATAGTTATCAAGGAGCACATCTGCATCTTAGGACTTAAAAATAATTTCAATAATAAATGTTAAGTGTATTAATAATGTTTAATTATGTAGGTGATATGTATGAATAATTATTCAATCATGTGTGCCATTTAGCCATATTACTCAAGATTGTACTGTAAAGGGAAATAAATTCGACTTGTTTTTCTCCTCTGGAGATTCCTCAATTACATTAGTAACATTACTATCTTAGTGACAATAAAGGGGAAAAGGAAAGATATTGAGCTAAAAAATATGACAGTTATCAAAGACTAGAATGATATCAGCAATGATTTTAAAAATGAATTTGCTTTTTAATTATCCCAATGTAATCACATACATTAGAAAAACAATACATACAAGTATATAACCAGTTGTATTATCTATTTAATCTATAGATAATGCTTGATAAAGAATTGATGTTTGTGGAAACAGAAGCACAAATTAGACTCCTCCCCAAAACTCAATAAAGCCCCATGGGCCCTTGGCTAAAATTGGGAGCCTTCACTGCGGNTTGGAATTATTGATCCAGATTTTATACATACACTTTTTTCTTTATTATAACATGTTTAAGTAACAATGAACTCTCTTTACTCTCCTTTATTTATTTATTTATGTATTTATGTATGTGTTTATTTATTTATTTTTGCCCTTTATTTTTTATATCTAGTTTTTTGAACAGCATTTCTTTCATTTTTCACTCGAGTAAATCCTCCAATAGGTTATTAATATCCACTTCAGAAGAGAGACTCTAGATTCTCCCCTTGCAGGTAACTTAGCAGCTGGAGGTGCGGAAGCAGCCCCTTGTATACAATCTGGTAACAATCACAGCTACTCATTCGCCACAGGTGTCCCTTTGACTATGGAGAACTTTCTAGTATCTCCTTGCCAACATCATTTTTATCAGATGGTAGCCAGTCTCTGATGTAGTTGCCAGGTCAGCAGTTGAGGCGGGAGAAGTGAATGCTTAGGGGTTGTCCAGCTTCCTGCACATTTGGCTATAGGATTACTCACCCAAGCTGAGCTCTGGAGCGCTGGAGCTAGTGTGCAGTCTTGGGCGGGCACTGGAAGGTTCTGCTGCTCTGCTGCCCGACGGCAGGTAGGGTGGGCATGCATCCATCAGGACCATGTGACCCTGACCCTCTCCTAGAGCAGGTCACCACTTAACTCCCTCCACGAGGTGCAACCACTTTCTATCTTTTTACGTGCTTCTTCAAGATTTTGTGTGAATTGATGAGTATGACTTGAGAGTTATCAACCTTCCTGTTTCTTTTATGTTATCTCCTTGTTTGAACTGAGGGGAGGGGACAAATGGTTCATTCTGGTTTCTCATTTGTTGGTGGCATATGTGCAAGTGCTCTGTATCCCATAAAATCCTATGTTAGTGTTGGCAGTCGTGTTATTTTTCTCACTTTTATTAGTTATATAAATAACTGGCATGCTTCTATGTCATTTGTACCAGTTTTTTTTCAGTGAATGTCAAGGAAGAAAAATATTTACCGNCAAAAGAGGTTTTAAAATTAAAGGGAAACAAAAAGACCAACAACTCTATAAACATTGGTAAGAGATATAAATAGACGTTTTACAGGAAAAGAAATGAAAAAGGCATAGGACATGGGAAAATATGTTCAAATTCACTCATAATAAAAATGCTAATTAAAGTGAACTGAGATTACCATTACTTGTCGATAAGGTTGTCAGAAACCCAAAAGATTGACAACATATGGGTACTTGTGGTAGAATAATGGCCCTCAAACATGTCTACACCCTAATCCCCAGAACTTTTTCAGAAGGGGACACTGCAGATGTGATTAAGGATTATGAGATGTGGAAATTCTCCTGGATTATCTGGATAGGTTTAATGTGATGACAGAGGTCCTTATCAGCCGAAAGAAGAGGCAGGAGAGACAGTCAGAAGATGTGATGATAGAAGGGGAAGTCAGAGTAATGTGATTGTTGGCTTTGAAGGAAAAACAGAACCATGCGACAAGGAACACTGGCTGCCTCCAGAAAATGGGAAGATGAGGAAATGGGTTCTTCCCTAGAGTTTCTAGAATGAAAAGAGTCCTGCTGACACCTTGATTTTAATTCAGTGAGTCCTATTTTTTGACTTTTGATATCCAGAACTGTAAGATTATAAATGTGTGTTGTTCTAATCTATTGAATTTGAGTTCATTTCCGACCATAGTAATAGACAACTAAAGCAATACCCGTCAGAGGAAGGTTGTGGGAAAACAGGCACTTTCATATCTTGTGAATGCAAAATGGACAACTGCTATGAGGAGAATTTTACTGCATTTACATAGGGACATACCCTTAGACCCTGCAAACACGCTGTCAAAAATACGAAGATATGCAGAGGGCTATTGTAGCACTTCTTGTAATAGCAAAAATGACTGGCAACAACCCAAATATCCATCAATAGGGGACTAGTTGAATGGAAAGTAGTAAAATGTTGTGCTATGCAATTATTTAAAAATATTTCCATAGTTATAGTATCTATGGAATGACCTCAGGCAATGCTGCTAAAGTAGTAAGGTGGGGAAAAGTATGTACAGCATGTTACTGTGTACAAAGAAGGGGGAGAATGTAAATGTAAATACATACACATTTTCTTTTAAAAACTGAAACAATAAAAAAGGTTTTTTTGTTTTGTTTTCTTTTTAGTTGTTATTCACAGAGCTGAAAAGGGACTAGCATGCAGGGACAAGAGTGGTTGGTAGACCTCTCTAAGTGTATATTATTTTGCAGATCTGACCCTGGGCCCCTAAAAATGTTTTATAACTATAAAGCAAAATTAAATAAAAATGGGAAAGGGAGCAAGCTTCAAAAAATCTACCTCCAAATTAACAAATTAACCTAAATTGGGATTGAGTCAGTGGGAAAACCATGCAGGGAGAACCTATTTCAAGTGATTTTAAATACACAGTATTTGACTATATGCTTAGTGGGATGTATCCTTAAGACAAAAAACAAGCAAACAAAAAACTTTAAAGAAATTTATTTTTATCAATTGTATTGTCAGATATAATATATAGTATATTTAAATTGTACTGTAGCATACAAATAATTGATATTATTAGGTATCAAGGTTTTCAGTGTAAGAGAAAAGAGACACAAAAACTCAAGTAAAATAACTTAAATTTGAATGGGCAATATTTCAATGAATTTGTGGCATATTTTTCCTTTTTAAAAAAATTCTGAGTATGGACAGCACAATGATGGACGGCACAAATACTCCTTCACTGAAGACTTGTTGCCCCAGCCTCTGGGAGTGCTGTTGGCTGTCTTCAGCCATCAGCCCTTTCAGGGATTGCAGAAAGCTGCCTTGCCCAAGGTCATGACACTTNCAGCCTGTGGATGTTCTCTTTTTAATAATAACAAAGCAAGGCATTAAATTATATTCTAGCTGCTCATTTCATGACCACTGCCACTGCTGTGTCACAATGTTAAATAATAAACTGCTATCAGGTATTGGCTTGTGTTCCATCGTCATCTAAAAGGGGATTTTAATGAATGATGCATCACTGTATATACATTTATATTCAGAGACCAGTTGTTAACGTTTTAAGCTAATGTCAGTGAATTTAAAAAATCTCAGTCAATAACGAAGCCATTCATTGTGTTCAAGAATCTTGCCTTTCTTCAATGATATGATTTTCTACTCATTTGAAAGGGTATTTAATTGCGTTGCTCATCCACTTTTAAAATTTAATAATTTTATTAGCTGTATAGAATAACAAGGGCAAGATTTGCAATATCTAGTGCTGGTCATCATTTTTTTCTTATCATGACGTGATGAATATTGTAATTACAAAGAGAGGCAGAAATATAAATTAGCTTAAAAGTTGGTTGGGACTTGCTAGTTTATTGGTGGTAGTTTGGCCAAAGCCCAGAATAGACACAAGGAGGAAAAAAAAAAAAAAAGGCACAGGTGAAGCCCTGGCCCAAAATTTTTGCAACCTACTAATCATTCCTCATTTTAAATAATGAACACAGAGACTTTGAATAAAGTTACAAATGCTGCCAATTACAATTCCTGCTGGTTCCTTAGCAATTGACAGGGGATCTTGACAACTTACAAGGCTTAGTTTCGGAAGCTATACCTATGTTCCTTTAATCTCTATTAATGCATTTTGACAACTTTCCATTACCTTTTCTTAAACAGTTTTACTATTATTTACTTTCAGCTACGCCAAAAGCATGAGCGAGAGTGGGAAAACTTGGTATAGCCATTATCACAATAGCACTTCTTACTTAAGTAGCACCTCTCACCTGAAGTTTTCAAAATGCTTTTGCGTACATTTCGTTAGACTTGTGGGAAGGAGGTCAGGGGAAAAGTTCTTTGCAGGCACCACACATTTAAAGCCTCTATGGAAATCGACCACAGGCCATGGAGAGAAAAGAATTTTCATTTTTAGTAATCTAGATATGGATACGTGTGTTAGATTATTTCTACATTTTGAGTGCCATTTGTGCAAAATGGAACCAGATATTGTTGAATTTAATGTGGTTTTCAACTTATTTCAAAACAAATAATTTTTAACTCCCTCCAGCAACTGCTTCGAGAACGACAGCAGATGGCCAGCCGCCCCTTTGCTTCTGTGGACGTAGCACTGGAAGTAGGAGCCGAACAAGCAGACTTTCTGCGAGGGCCGTTAGAGGTAGGAACAGTGGTGCTGAGAGGGGACCACTGCGATTTGCATATTTATGTTGCTTCTCTAATCTGCATCTGCTTGTGAAGCCAAACAGAGCCTGATTATCTGGAGTTGACAAGATTCAGCTCCACATATTATGCCATTTTCAAGGCACATAGTTTTAATAGTACGACATGAGCTGCAATAAAGCCACTAGAGGATCTATTAGCCTAGGCAACAGTGACAGACTGCTCACCGGGATGCCTTTTCCTGACAGCCAGGAGCTGAAGGAATTGAAGATGCAGGTATAATGGAAGACACAGAGTCTCTCTGTTTAGTCCCTGGAGTGTCCAGGGCCCTTTAATTAACAATTCACAGTTACCTTTATTAACAAAAGTTGACTAGGAAAGGTGGGTGGAGCCGAGTTGCATTTTAGTTACATAGTTTCATCTTTGAATGTTGAGAATTGTAGAATACAGTGAATATTTTTTCTTTGTGGTAATGGCAATATTGGTATATTATTTTATTGCAAATGCAGAAATGGAGTAGGATGAAAGAGAAATTATGTGCAAGTAAATGTGGTATTAGAATCCTGAAATAACACATGAAATGGTTCCTGAAAATAATAATCTCCAAAGAGGAAAAATCCACAGATAGCAATTAGTGACTAATGAAAGCATTTTGAGGCATAGTAATTTAGTTGTACTTGTATGTTTATTTTTTAATTTATGTTTTATATATAGAAAGATGTTTAAGTAGGAAGATTTAGAAGCACTGTAGAGTGGAAATATTTTATTCCCTTTTATAAAAATGTCCTTTTGTGACTAATTTCATGTTGCTATTTCCATATTTTGCTTTTCTTCAAGGAAAGCAAAGAGTATAAAAATAGACTCCTTCAAGTACCTAAGTATAAACATAATTGATTCTGTCTATTGCATTTTTGGTTATTGTGAAAAACAGTAAAGCTAAATGAGACCTCATGAATGCTATACAAAGGGCCAGTATTTAGAGAATGTTTCCTTATGAATGTTTTTTAGCTTTTGTGTTTTTNAAGAAAGTACTCAATATTCTCCTAATTTTTAGGTTGAGTTTGTATCATTCTTAGTTGCAATTGGCAGAAAGTAGTTCCAAATCTAATTTTATTTTACCACAATCATGACATTTTCTAATTGTCTCATAAATTTGCAACATTTGTCAAGAGGAAAACTAGTAGAACAAAATGTGTCACTAGTGCTGAAGAAAATGGGTCTGTGCTAATTAGTGTGCCATCTTCAAAGACAAAATTAGCCCTTGAAATTTAACATAATAATTGTATCAATGAACAGTTACTGAGTGCTCACAGTGTGCCAGCGTCTGTGTTGAGTGATCCAACCTTATGATGGTTTTATTCCAATTTTATATAGAGAAACAATAAGCATTAGAGAGGTCTAAGGGTAATTTGGTTTTGGTCCAATAGGTAGTAGGTGGAGAAGCTGGGACTGAAAACAACCCTCTGAGGTGTAGGTATAGGTGTAAGTACCGTTAATATCCCATGTTACAGATGAGAAAAATTGAGGCCCAGCGAAGTCTCAATAATTTGGTAAAGCTCAAAACAGCTAGTAAGTGAAAAAACTGATATTCAAACACAGACCCTTTTAACTCCAGAGTCTGGCTATATCACCTGTCAGTATTTCTACTAAATTTTGACAACATTCAAGTTGTAAGCCTGCTGTTTCCGTCTCCTGCATTCTGACATGGAGGGTGCAATAATCTGCAAGTAACACACACAGATATTAACTGGCAAGAGGGAGGACGATTGTTAATAAGGATACAGCTGAGGGCCAGAAGTTAGGAGCAAAGAAAATCTCACTTATTCCATTTTATCATTTGAGGCCATCACATCAAAGCAAGAGGGTTTCAGGAGAAAGTGATTTCCCTTCCTAAGTTTCACAGTCAGAACATTTACATTAGTTTCTCAAAGACAGAGGCTCAGTATGTCAGCCAGAGTCTGTGGACCAGTCCTCTGCTAAGTGACCTGGGGTAAACTCATTCAGCTGAGTCCCTGTTTGCACCCTTTCCTGTACACTACCTTCCACCCTCATGTTTTTATTTTACCACGTCTCGTTTTACAAAAACCATAGCGTCATGGTCCTCGGAAGGAACACTGTTTTCCTTCTTTGTAGAGTGCTGCAGTAGGCATTCAATTCTTAAAACGTGATGGAGACTCAAGCTCAGAAAACAAACTGAAATCTTTTTTTTTTTTTTTAAGATTTTTATTAGGGAATTGGGATGGGAACAGTGCTGGGGAATTGGGGGAAGGGGAACAGACAAGTTGCTGTCGTTTTGTTCTTCAGTCTAGTTGTGGAGGACGTTGCTTCACTG